CCCCGGCGCCCGGGGAGGCTGCGGAGCCCTCGGCCGTGAGCCACACACACCGCTGCGGCCCAGTTCGTCACCCCGGGCCGGGGCTGACGCGCTCCAAGTCGCAGCCGTCTCCACGGAACGGGAAAAGCCCTCAGCCAGCCGGCGGCGAGGAAGATGGCGCCCACTCTCCCCTCGCGCTCGGACAAACGGACGTACAGTTTGTCTGCCCATGCGCGCTCTCCCGGCGTAACCCGCTTCCTCCTCAGCGTGTCTGGCGGCGCACGCGCAAGCGCGCACGCCGGGCGCGACGCTTTCCCCGTTGTCAAGGGAAAGGGAGGCGGCGCCTCGGAAGGTGGGGGGGGGGAAATGGAGGGGTGGAGACAGGGGGACTACTGCGCATGCTCAGTTCCCAGCCAACCCGCGAGCCAGATCAATTGGGAGACTGTAAAGTTAGCTTGTGGGGGAAGAGGTGGCTCGCATTTGTAATCCTAGCTACTCCGGAGGCCGAGGTCTCAGAATCACGGGTCAAAAGCCAACCCGATTAAGAAAACTCCTTGAGAGTCTTAGCTGCAAGTAACCAGCAAAAAGCCGGACGTGTGGGTGTGGCTCCGTGGTAGAGCGCCAGCCTTTTTTCCAGTTCTTTTTTCTTTTTTTTTAAATTTTGAATAATATTTTTACAATATCGATGAACAAAATAGCAGTTTTACATCTTTGGGTTGCATAGTATAGCAACTTGTCATTTATATGGCATCTCCCTGAAACACACTGTTTCTAAAATGATTTGGTTCCATTTTCCTGACAGATTCACCATAATCATCCCCATGCCTACACAAGAAATCTGAAGATGAGAGAGGATGAGTAAAAGACAGCACTGTTCATCATGCCAAGAGCACCAGCACTGAGTGTAAACCCGGTGTTTGGATACGGGCAAAAAAATAAAAGAGTCGTCAACTGGTAGGTGTCAAGAAAATCTGAGGTAAGTACACAAATCGTAATACACAGAACAAACATTAGAATCTTTCAGCAGCTAAGGAAAAGATGTAAAAGAAAAAAAAAGTGGGCGATTTGTCTTTCTATGCTGCTGTTACCACAGGTTTGAAAGCATTTTCTGAAAGGTTCTTGAAAATTCCAAAAGGCCATTCACTACCTTATGTTTACCTTGAACAAAGCCAACATCGAAGAGCCTAATATGTACATTTTTAAACAGTCCTTATAAACATGAATAAGCTTGTGATATATCTTTTTTAAATTTGTTATTCCAACAGATGGATGGACCAGTCCAGAAAATTGAGAAATGGAAAGTACAATTACAGGCGTGTTTTGTGAGGCTTGCTCTGCAGTAGCTTGTGATCAACTTTGTGCTTGGCTTTATTATTCTCAAATAATGAAGCAGCCCATCACACTTTGTAACTGCATTTATGGCAAATTAAAAGCTTACTAAGAAAACAAAGTACATTTTAAAGATACTGATGAAAATGAATTATGAATCCCTGTCTCAAAATACCTATTCTTAAGTGATAGGTTGTGAGAATAAGAATAGTTAAATAAGTAGTTAATAAGTAGTTAAGTAGTTAATGAGTAGTTAAATAAGAATAAAAAATAATTCCCATATACTCTTAGGAACACAAAGGCACAATGACTATGTGCCTCTGATCACATAAAATAATACTTGTCTAATTGAACTGCAGGGAATGGAAACAAGAGGTTTATCATTGTTGTTTTTGTTTTTTCTTTTTGTCTTGTTTGTTCGTCTTTGGGAGCATAAAAGGGGAGCATAGCAATGGAGTTGTTAATGTGTAATACCCCACAAGTGAGAAAATCCACCACAGAAGCACTTTAAAGGTGACAAAGGAGTTTTATTAGTTGGTCTACAACCTGTCCTGGGTTACACCTCAGAACTAGGAGTAACTGCAACCTCTTAAATGGATTTTTTTTTCTTTTCCTTCCTTCCTGCTCTCCACAACCTCCAGCGGCCCCTCCAACTCTCCTCTGGCCTTTCAGCCTGCCAGCCTGTCAGCTCTAATTTCCCAGTTCTTCTTATCTAAATTAGAACAGTTACCACTATATGTTTAATTGTTTCTGGGTCTGTTTCTCTATTTTACTGTGAACCCCTAGGAAAAGCACCCTTCCTTTTGACAAATATCCATCTCCTAGAGGTGTGTAGTTCCTAGAAGTGTTTCAAAACCAATTGAACTCCCCACAAAGCGTAGGTTCATTTTGAGTTCTCATGTAGACTATTTCCTAGGGATAATGTGTGTCTTATTAAGTTTAGCAATTCAACACATAATATAGTCTTTGTGATAGCCAGATTTCTGGTACCAACCACTTCACAAAGCACTAGACTTCCACAATTATTTCTCAGCTATACTTCCCTATTTTAGTAGGCAAAGTAAATTCTCCTTTCTCCCAAATTTCCCTCCCTTATCTTTTAGCTGCCCCCACCCCCACCATGATTTAGTCTTGAGGAAAGACCTAAACTAATTGTAATTTTTGCATCTCCAAATGATTTCCCTTCTAATTACCCACTGTGTCTTTTCAAATTATTACTTACTGTTACATATTCTTTATTTAGAATACCAATCCTGCTTGTCTTATCTGCTCTCTACACAAGGATTTATTCACAGCTTTACTCATCTCATTTCTTTTCTTTCAGACTTAAAAAAAAATGATATTCCCTTTGAGGCATCTTCTAATGATTCTTTGATGTAAGACCTTGGCTCCTTCCTGATCAAGAGAAAAATTTACTTTTCTCCATTTTTTTTCTTTTGAATCCCTGTTTTTTATTGATCAGTTTCTTTTGACTTACATATTGCCTTATCCCTAAAAACATTCTCTTGCTTAGTTGTTTCTTTTGCCTTTATCACAATATATACTTTTAGATTTTTAAAATCTGGTGCTTATTTTGTATCAACACAGCTCTGCGGTTTTCTTCTATCCCAACCATTACCATGGAACTGCACTTTAACAGGTAACTAATGATCTCCAGTTACCCAAATCAAAGACTTTTCTCCATTTTTAGCTTCTTGACCTTACTGCAGCAGTTATATTATGAAGGAGTACACCATTATATTTAAGCAGCTCCTACAATTAAGCTAACAATTCAATTTTTTCTGCAAATTGCAAACTGAGTCTTAAGATTTTTAACGCCAAATTTTGCCTTCATTTAGTCATGCTGAGTAGATTGGCATAGACCAGTGCCAATTTCCTACTAGGTATTCACTGTCTTTGAACCTGTTCTCTCACTGTCTTTGGTCTGCTTCTTTCTAAATTGTCATTAAATTATAATCTACTAATATCTTCTGCATTTGTTAATGAATCTTAATTGGGTAACATTGGGCTTGTTTCTAAACCTGATAAATGAAAATAGTTGTAGTTCTTGATACTAGGGTTGTTAGCTGGTAAATGGCAGTCATACTGCAGTTTTAAGGGGGAAAGCCAGAAAACTGCAGAGATAATTATCTGACATCGCTGTACAAACACCTTCAAATTATATTTATTTTTGATTAAGCTATGGTGAAAGAGCTGACATTGCCTGGTTCTGTTACTTGCAACGAAAATACCCCTGATGATACAGTTTCAAAATTATGCCTTTACTAACATTCTTTTCTGCTGTCATCACAATTTATATATATATCAATCCATAGTATCTGCCATTATCTCCAACTTAACTGTGGTTGTATATTTCAAGTCCTTGACTACAGACAAACTCTCACTAGGTGCAATGGCCACTGGTCTTAGACAATTACATGTGTGTGGTCTATAATGGCTGTATCACTTTGTGGAATGTGTCCATTTTTATTTACATTCCATAGAGTAGCTTCATAATACAGTGGAAAGATGACAAATTTTAGGCCTGACCAAATAAAAGTCTAGTTTCAACATCTCCTAAAACTTAACTTTTTGATAGCCCGTTTTTCCCAATTAGGAATAGTCTTTCCATAAAATGTTGTTCTAAAGAATTAAGATTAATGTTGTTAAGTGCCTAGCAAAGTGCAGAATGTGGTACAAATAGAAAATAAGGGTACATATGAGCTGTTTTTATTGCTTTAATTACACAGTAGGCAATAAGAAAATATTATTGCTCTAAAACCTTCCCATGGAGTATATAACATTATATACTTTATCAAAGAAAACTAGATTTAAAACTCACCCATAGAAAGCTTTTACTGCTTTTACAGCTTAGTCCCTATTTGGACCATATTTCTTTTTTGTCTTCATTAATACTTATGTAGTCACAGTCTTTCATATAGAAAGATTACATGCTGGGCTGGGAAAGTGGCTTAATGGTAGAGTGCTTGCATAGCATACATGAAGCTTGCCTAGCATACATGAAGCGCTGGGTTCAATTCCTCAGTTCCACATGAACAGAAAAAAAGCTAGAAGTGACGCTATGGCTCAAGTGGTAGAGTGCTAGCCTTGAGCAAATATAATAGAAGCTCAGAGACAGTGCTCATGCCCTGAGTTCAAGCCTCAGGACTGGCAAAAAACAACAGAAAGATGTCCTTTTCTCTCTAAATTTTTCACTGCAACAAACACAGCAATTACTCAAAAAAAATTTTATTTTTATTTTTTTGTCAGTTGTGGGGCTTGAACTCTGGGTTTGGGCGCTGTCCCTGTACTCTTCAGCTCAAGGTGACGCTCTACCGTTTGAGCCACAGTACCACTTCTGGTTTTCTAGTGGTTTATTGGAGATATGAGTCCCATTGACTTTCATGCCCAGCCTGGTTTTGAACTATGATCCTCAGATCTCAGCCTCCTGAGTAGTTAGGATTACAGACATGAGTCACCGGCGCCCGGCTAAACATATTTATATTTTTAGACTTTCTCTTTGAGGAACAGATTTCAGACCATACACCTCTGTGTCATAGTGATTGCTGTGTGCTGTTTTTTTGAGGAAGGCCTAATGGTAAATAAGTTATCTAACTTCTCTAGATGCACTTTCCACATCCATTAAACACACACAGATTATAAAAGGACAAATTATTATTATTATTGCAAAATTTGTACTTTCTTGGGAAAGCAAAATCAAGTTAATATTTCTAAATGATGTAGCTTCAAATGTTCCAGGTTATTTTATTGTTTTTTGGGGGGGTTTTTTTGCAGGTCATGGGGCCTGAACTTGGCCCGGACGCTGTTCCTCAGCTCTTCAGCTCAAGGCTAGTGCTCTACCACTTGAGCCACAGTGCCATTTCCTGCTTTTCCTGTTTATGTGGTGCTGAGGAATTGAACCCAGGGCC